TGCAACAAAGGTCTTACTTTGAATACAGAGTTGTTCATATATTATAAAAGCAGTCCTTTTCAGATCTTATTAAAAGATATTGACCACAGGTCCCCGGAGAGAGGGCCTCTGGTGCCCTGGGAGCCACGGGCGGGGAGCGCCGGTCTTCTGGCTCGCTAGCTTTCTGCCTCATAGGCCCCTGGTGGGAGGGCCCCTGGCGCACGTGGAGCCCTGCAGCGGCAAGCACTGTTGCGCACCGGCCCTTAGGCCAGCCGCCACCTCTCAATTGAGAACTATCAAGATACAGAGAAACAATGACACAATTGGCCTACCATGCACCGGCTGCAGATGCCCACCCTGGGATGTGTGTGAAACATTCAAATGGAAAAACCCCTGGGAAGCATGCCATACAGTGGGCCACTCTTGCTTCTGCCATTGAGAACCAGAAAGGTCCAGAGTCAGCGGAGGAGCAGCTGCTGAACAAGGACTCGGAGAACAAGAGAATGCAGACTAAGCCCACGGAGTCAGAGGTCCTGTGGACTTGGGTCATGAGAGCCTCTCAGAAGCTGTAAACCAGGAGGACCTTGCACAATACCTGCAGAGACTCCCTGGAAGCCATTCTTCCCCTGACAGTACAGGCTGTGGTGGAGCTCCGGAGAAGTCTGCAGCAGGATTCCTTCTGCCTGCACTGACAGTTGGGGAGAGGACACTAACTGGTGGTGGGGTCCCAATGCGATGGGAGGCTGGAGAGAAAATGCTACAATAAATGGCTTTGGCCCCAGATGGCTCACTTGATTTTTGACAACCCTTAGGCTGTAAGTACTTGTTAGATCCTGCTTGTGTATCTCTGTCTTCCTGAGAAACTACTTTGAAGATACCACATGTATTACAGCAGTCATTGATATTTTCCTAGTAATCTATCCATAACTCTGTAATGTTTGTATTGTTCCTATCCTATTTCATTAATGGATCCATGTTATTATGTGTTTCCTACAACAACTATTGAGAAATATTGAATGATTATTCAATAGGTCACTCATGTATAGTTCTATTTATATTCTTTAGAAACTACTTTGGAGATACCTAAGTATAGTACAATAACTATTGATAATCTCCTACCTCTTTTGTCTGTAACTCAATATTATTTGTCTATTTGTTTTCCTGAGAAAC